GCCCCTAGGCAATTTACCTGTGGTGCCAAATGAATACCAATGGGCTCCCTGTGCATCACTAATGCCCCTTAGGCACCACCCCAAACCTAAGCTACATGTATGCCCCCACACCACATGTCTGGCGGAGAGAATGCCAGACCCCAAAGGTTATGGAGTCTCTCCCCACATTCTTAAAATAAAGCCCGCTTTTATTTCATACTTCTTATCGTTTTAGCCACGCCAAAAATCCTATCAGATGGTTCCCTTCCACGCTGAAAATTCTGTCAGTAGTGACAGAGGGCATGTGCGAATGTTATCACTTTGCAGATACAGAAAGTGAGGTGCAAAGTTCTTTTTAAAATATAATTTAAATTTTTAAAGTGAGACAGAATAATTGCACGTATTTTTAGGGTAGGTATAATGTTTCAATACATGTTTGGAATGTGCAGTAATCAGATCAAAGTAATATGATTATCTGTCATCTCAAACATTTACCGTATCTTTGGGTTGAGAACATTCCTAATCCTCTGTACTAGGTTTTTTTTTTTTTTTTTTGCTTTTTCAAATCCTCATATCTAGTTCACAGTGAAGCCATGACAGAAATGCCTAATAATACAGCTCCTTATGGAACATATTGTTAGCAATTTTGTGTATGTGTGTGGCAGTGGAGAAGGAACCCAGGACCTTCTCAATGAGCTAAATCTCCAGTCCTTTTCTCTTTTAAAATCTTTTTTATTTTGAGACAGGTCTTAGTAAGTTGCCTTGTTCCCCATATTAGGCCAATATTTGCAGTCCTTCCTTAGCCCCGCAATGTCCTAGGATTACACCCACACATCACGGTGCTTAATATGTTCAGTATATAATATTATTATTTTTCTTCTGTCTCAGTGTTATCCACATATTCTAGCAAGGCATTTAAAGCAGTGCAGCTTCAAGTGTGATCCCTGAAAGATGCTGTTTGTTGCAGATTCGCAATATGATAAGGACAGCAGCTGAGGATAGGCGTTGAGTAACCGTGACATCAAGGTGACAGTGTCAACACACCCAAATCGGAGTGGTTTTTAAAGTTCATTTGTACTGTTTTACCAAAGTTCTCTCCCTAATTAATTGAAGGCAAAACCTTTGATCATTTATAAAACACAAATGGAAAGTGTTCATTTATAAACAATAAAGCAAACATTTAAATCACTTTTAATTGAACCTAAGCCACTTTTGTGAAACTAGGAGATAGGAGTGGGGAGAGGTTTGCTTTTCTCTATAAACCTTGGTTAAGTAATTTTACAGTTTTAATCGCATACATTTTCTAAGATAAAAATATGTTAAGTACAAGCATGAAAAATGCATAGTATATACAGATGATGAGTTTAGACCTAGTGATGTTGCCAAGGTGTTTGGAGCTTTGTGGCCTCTGAAACCAGAGGGAGACGGTTTAGCTGCAGAACTCTAGGCCAGTGACTTTTTGGTGGTCTGTCCCACTTCTCATTTCTCCATGTCTGTGTGGTGTTCCAGTGCGTGGAGTTGTGTCTTGGGAAGGACCATCAGTTTAATTCCTTAGGTCACAGGGGCTTCCTGCCCTCTGACTCCCAACAGAGTTCAGCTTCCACTCAGCTATCGGGCTCTGTCCTGCAGAATTAAAGCAAATATCTGCCACATTCTGGGGAAGTTTAGGAGAAATGAGGAACCATGAGGAAATGGCCTTCAGGATAGAATGGCCTCCAACATAATGTCTGTGGCAGCCATTTTCAAGTCCTTATGAAAACCCTTAGAAAGGCGAGTAGTCTTCCTTACACAGCCACAGAAGGAGAAGCGAGGAACTGACTGCCTCACCCAGACAGCAGTACTGATGCCTGAGGGCAGCGTGCACGTGGCCAAACATGAAGTCATCTGAGTAAATATGTAATAGAGGGGGAAAAAAAAAACAGTAGTGCTAGGAGTAGGATATTCAAAGTGAGAGAAAAAAAAGCAAGGAAAGAATTTCATAACCTATAATAAAAAGGAAAACAAATGTACCTTAGCCTTTTGAGTAGTATATATCATGTAAATGTTCCTCAAGAGCTAAAGAAAGGTGCATTTGTAATCCCCATCTTCATTCCTAACCTGAAAGACTACTTCACTATCAAGGGATGAGAAGATGCTGGTTTGGGTTAGAGGTTGATCACCCCAGACTTTTCTATGTTAAATTTAGAAAGAGGCAAAAGGGTCAGATCCTCCCAGTGCAGCCCAAATGGTCTCTTTGGTAGTACTTTCCAGTCTCCCTTTGACCTCCTTTCCCTGTGAAATATTTTACAAGTCAAAGAGGGAAAGTAAGCCTTGAATCCCCAGGGTTCCTAAGGAATCTCACAACCTTCCAAGGCTATATAGAGCTCTACACATCTCTTTGCTCTGTGTCCATGAGTTTCAGCCAGAGGCAAGAGGCTTGAACTGTGGACTCCCACAGTTTCTGCCTTTGGCTGTAGGCTGCCTCCAGGGTAAAGCAGTTGTGGTCAGGAAGCTCCAGGCTAGGCAGTTCCTACCGGCCTAGGGCCAGCCCCCAGAGAAGGGTGAGGGCATGAGCCCTGTGGCTCAATGCATGCAGCAGCTGGGGGCCATGCTGCAGGCTTGCTAAGGGGATCTAGGCAGGCATGGAAGACAGCTGCTGCTGCAGCCAAGAGTTGGAGATATAAAGCACATGGACTGAGTCAATGTCTACGAAGCAGTTTACATTATATACAAAGCCTAGCCTGTTCTACCTAAAACACATATGTCAAGCCATGGCAATAAGAATATGCTTTTGTCAAATGGGATTACAAAATAAATCCAGATGGGAACATGAGTGTTCTTCACTACAGTTCATGCATTTTATAGAAGAGGAGGTCAGAGTAAACCCTTGTCCTGAACCAGATCTCACTTCCTAGTCTAACTCTGGCCTTAGTCAGAGCTACATCTCCATCGTTTTTTCTTTTATCTCTCCTGTCTTCCCGTCCCCTTCTCTCCTCTCGTCTCCCCTTCTCTCCTTTCCTCTCTGCTCCTCTTTTCTGCTTTCCTCTGTTCTCTCCTCTCAAGACATTGTCTTAGTAGATTGCTAAATTGTCCAGGCTGGAATCAAACTCGTAATCTTCCTACTTCACCCTCCCCGAGTACCAAGATTGTAGGAATATATATACCATACATTCATCTCACTTTCTGGTATTTATTTAAATTCAGCTTACCTCATGTTTATTGATTCCAAAGCTGAAGACATTGAACAAAAAACTATTAAAGCATAAAACTCATCCTGTATTTTGAAACTTATAAATGTACAGTCTGTCAGAAAATAGCAAATGAAAGAAATAAAGAAGACATAACTACTACTGAGATCAAAAGATCTCACCTCAAGAGCAGTATGGATAGAATGATTTGGTGACTTAAAGAAACAGACACAAAATGATGGTTTGTGTTTGTCTCAATTTGATAGGGGCAAAAGGCTTTCTACAAACTTTTCTACATTTCAAACTATAGAAAAAGAAACATCCTAGCAGCTCTTCTGAAGATAAACATGCAAATAAGAGTCTGGAAAAGAGGAAGAAGGAAAACAAAACAAAACAAGAACCGAAACCTGTCTGTCCATTTTCAAAATGTCCTTTTTGCCATGAAAGCTTCTTCAGTTCTTAGACTAGAAAGACTAATTATTGAAAGTTTTATTTGTTAAATAATATTATTTTGAAGCCAAAAGCCAAAGTTCTTACTTACTTTGGGGAAAAGGTGGAACTTGGCTGATTGTCCTTTTTAGCTTAGTCATGGTTTAATAATAGAGTGTTTTCAAACTTTTTAGTTGAACTATACTCTGTTGATATACCTGTTTGCTTATTTAAATTAGGCTGCTCACTCGCATTTTTTGTAGTACCTTTTTGAATAGGATTTATCTCTTTATTCACAGACCCATTCTTGAAATAAGCCATTAACCTGTCAACCTACCAATCTATGAAAGAATTGGCCCATTCTTGAGGGTGGAGGTTGCTTGACCTCACCATCTCTTAAAGGTCTCATTTGGTCTCTTCTTTTAATACTCAACCAACGATGGTTAAATTTCACCATGAGTTTTGATGGAAGCATTTAAATTATAGCATTAAAGAACCTCATAACAATGGAAGGATATATTATCTGTTCTTTTATGTCTGACTTATTCCTTTATGTCTGACCTGTTTCTTACAAAGTCTTCAAAATGCACCTAGCTCTAAGGAAGAGTTGGAGACAGAGACCACCCAAAATCACCAGGCTTGAATACAGGCAACATGGCATGAAATGAACTGTGCCTGAGTATGTGCAGACAGAGGATGCAAAGGGCATCTGTAGGAAGCAGAGAGAAGTGAGATTTTTTTTGTAGGACTCAAAAGAAGGCAAAGGACATTAGACAAGAAGATCTTAGTGAACATCAACAGCCAAAGGTCTCTGGATGTCTTGTACCTCAGTGGACAAAGTCCTTGAGACATCTGGTATAAATGTTGAGGTGTCTTTGTATGTCCTGAAGTTTGGACGATCCTATGCTCCATCTTAGCTATTTTACCATATTCTGTGTTTGCACATCAAGCATCACAATAGCGTGTGTCACAATTTCACCCCTCTCATGGCTGACTATTCTTATAACACCACATCTCGGTAGGTTTGTTCACTGTGGCCTGTGGAGGACCCTTATCAATGTATTGTGTACAGTTTTCCCACCTGTCAAGAGCTCATTCCATTCTTTTGGAACAAATCACCCCATCAAAATTTCTGCCGGAAAACGTAAGCTACGTGACTTCAGCTGTCTTGTTCTCTACTTTATTGGCAGCTATTAGCAGAGTACCTAGCACATAGCACGGCCTGTGTCAAATTCTTCCCAGAACCCTTCCATAACTATTCTTTCCTCCTCATTTCAATGCACTATTATTTTAAAATGTTCTTAGAATAATTATCAATGTGTTTTGACACTCAGTACCCCATGTGACCCAGCCAGGCATCTCAACATTTCCCTGTGCTGTACAAACCATTCTCAATTGGCCTGTGTTTGCCTGCTCTCTTCACAGAAGTAAAAGATTATGAGCCACCATTTGGTTCCAAGGTGCGGGAGCATCCTTGTGTCGAGAGTATGAAGGACAATGTATTAAGAGACAGAGGACGACCAGAAATTCCTAGCTTCTGGCTCAATCACCAGGTAAGCTGTAATGACAGTCGAAGGGTGAATGACATTCACCCAATCCAGCCTTTTAGGTAGGAGAGGATTCTTGGATATACTGGGCTTAAACCTGAGGCCAGGCTCCTTTCGGTTCTATGGCCCAGGTAGGGTTTGTTTATAAAGAAAATTTCAGTCAAGTGGACGCCACTGCTGTAAGCTGCCCCTAGGAGGTGTAGTAACTCACAGAAAACCTTTGAAAGGGCATTGGCCATAGCAGCCAAGCGCCTTTGGTTCTGGGTTAAAATATCATGTTTGCAGCCTCTACTGTTTCCTCCCCATGTCTTTACATCAAGAGGTCACATCAAATTTTTTCTGGATTCCAACTGATTTCCTCTGGAGCTTGGAAAGAAATCCAAGACAGCTGTAATACAAGCGAGGATGTCAGGCAGCCGGAAATGAGAAATGACTGGAGGCTGCTTGGTAGGGTCCAGGCTGTGCATACTGGGCTGCAAGCGAAGTGTCAGTGCAGGAAAGGAAAATCTATCTGTAGGGAGCTTCCTCGTGACTTCTTATCTTTTCTCTTTCAAGACATGGGAGCAGTGCTCTGGGCCTCATGGAGTCCTGTTCAGATTCATTGCTTTTGGGGATACTTGTTGAGAGCAGTGGTCAGAGAAAAAGAAGAAACCGGTCTCTTCTGAGTGAAGACACATTGGCCATCTGTGTGACTCACCTAGAAAAGGGCCCTCAGTGAAGAATAAGAAAACACTGTGCCCCACTGAGAAACCAGCTCTTTCTACTGAGTAAAAACTTTTACTGCCTTTAGAGGATGAATTCTCTTATCTCTGAAAACTGAGTTGTAGGTTTTTCTAACAGCAAGGCAAAGTTAAATAAAAAACAGAAATAACAAATCAAGCTCAAACAGCAAGATAAATGGAACAGGAAGCCTAGTCAGAGCAAGAGTCCAAAGCCACTTGAGCAGACAGACCTTAATAAGATCAGGGTGAGAGGAACCCGGGCTGCAGAAGGTCAGGAGGTTCTCCAGGGTTTCAAACAACTTGCGACTCCAAGACTATTGGCATAAACTCTGGAATCAGAAGGTGCTAAACTGGTTTGTTTCTTTCAAACTTTGTTCCTTCTTCTGATGCCCAGTTCTTATAATGAAACCATTATTCATGATGATAAAATTCTGGAAAGAATTTGCATAATACATTTTTTCTCTTAATGAGATTTGTTGCCCTATTGATTTCAAGTTAATGCTTAATATTTAATTGAATTTACTGCCTGTAATTACAGTGCCAGAGTAAAATAAATGTTCCTTGTATACCAGCACTAACACTATTCCTAACAGGGTCATCCATCAATACCGTCAATTAGGTGAATTATGCAATTAATTCAACATCAAGAACTCTGAGGTAGGGAGAAAGAGAGAGCAGTTCCTGGGTGTATTGAGGTTGTTGGTGTTGAAAGGCAAGAACTAGTTCTTCAGGGCAGTGTGAGGATGTACCTGTGGCACCTTTGTCACCTGTCTGAGATCACCATGAGCAATGCTAATGCTCCACATAGAAGGAGCTCACTTTAGTTTCACCTACCAGAGAATATATTTAGCTCCTTCCTGCTTTGTTTTCAGAAAGGATTTTAAATGGTAACAAATATAAAATACATTTGCAATAAAAATAAAAATTAAGCCAGTGAGAGAAAAGTCTTGCCACCTTCCTATTCAGTGTGTCCTGGGTGGGCTCACTGGATTGGGGCCTTTGAGAGTCAGGGCGAACCCCATAAAATGATGCACAGGCAAGCACATGTGACATACAAAGACGGCTGTGATACAAGGACCAGTGTTGTTGGAAAGGAATAGGCATCACAGATGTCATCCTTTCCAGCTCTTCAGAGCAGAGCTGCTACTGAATCATTCCATGGAACATGCACCACCAGACGGGGTCCAAGGAAGTTCCCCAAAAGAGAGGATGAGGACTAAAACTTAGCCAGGACAGGTTGTTGACAAGTGGTCACAGAAGCACATTTCACGATGTGTCGGTAAGATGCAGAGAGAAATGTATTAGACAGAGAAAGAAAATGAGAGAAAACGGGGAAGAGATTTGAGCTTTAGAAGCTTGAAGCGAGTTTACTTCTCATGGAGAAGATTAGATTGGCCTGTCAAGATAGGAAGGCAGGAGCTTTTATGGAGCAGCTGGAGTGATCTGGGGCCTGGTTGATCACTATCTCCATTCTGGTTTTGCAAGATGGATGTGGAGAAGTCCTTGTAGCCTAAGGGGATGAGCTGTTCTCCATGGGACGACTACTTCTCCTTGAGGTGTACTCAGTTTGACTGAGACCTTCAATCCATGGTGACAAGGTGACTGAAAATTTAGGGTAATGACTGGAGGCTTCCAGGTGTATAATCTTTTTTTCTTTTTGTCTTTTTCCTTTTTATCGGTCCTGGGGATCGAATTTACAACTGCCTGCTTGCAAGGCAGGCGCTTATGCCACTGAGCTAAATCCCCAGCCCCAAGGTGTATAATCAATCTTAAAGGAGTGTGAAGGAGATAGGACATGTAAATTTGGGGCTAGTCAACCTGTATTGCCAGCTTTTTGACAGACACTCCCTACATGATTAATATGCTTGTATGCAAAACTGAGCAATTATCTGACTCAAAGTTTTAAAGAAACAAAGGATATAGTCACAAATTGAATGTCAACCTTTATGCCGCATGCAGATACCACTTGGGCATCTTTAGACCAAGTGATTTTTCAGCAAAAGTGATGTCTAAGATCTTGACAACATCAAAAGAAAACACAAACCCAACTTTTAACGAGTAACAAATTAAAGGACCCAGGAGTTCACCTGATCTTTATCCCTGGGATGGTCTCTTAAGTGTCTCGCACAGATTTAATAAAATAGGACAAGGGTCTGTGTCTGTACATCTCTGTGGTTGGAATAGTCACATATACACGATCCAATGGAAGAGGCAAAACCAAGGCCGAGAAATTTCTATATGATACTATACTGGCAGTTACAGGTTATTACGTGTTTGCTGAAACCCATAACACACACAGCATGAAGGATGATGTATGGACTAATCTAATGTATGGACTTTGACTGATAATGAATGACAGTTCATTTGGACTTCTCTTCCACTGCAGGGCATCCAGATGGTGTGTGAGACACTGACTGAGTGCTGGGACCATGACCCAGAAGCTCGTCTTACAGCCCAGTGCGTGGCAGAACGCTTTAGCGAGCTGGAGCACCTGGACAGACTCTCCAGGAGGAGCTGCTCCGAGGAGAAGATTCCCGAAGATGGCTCGCTGAACACTACCAAATAGCTCTTCCAGGGCAGCCAAGGCCCAAGCCAAAGAGCCCACCCCTGTCACCAAAGAACAGAGGCAGCAGGAAGCTGCCCCTGAACTGATGCTTCCTGGAAAATCAAGGGTCACTCCCTCCTGATAAGCTGTATGATGAGCGGAAATAGCCGCAGCAGGGAGAGATGACAGAAAGCATTCTATGCCTTTGACATTGTCATGGGATAAGCTGTGTTAGCACTTCCTCAGGAAATGAGATTGATTTTTACAATAGCCAATAACATTTGCACTTTATTAATGCCTGTATATAAATATGGAATAGCTATGTTTTATATATATATCTATATGTCTATATCTATATCTATATCTATAGCCATACTCTGAAAAGAGACAAGGAAAATGATCAAAGATTCCTGAGAAATTGGTTTTATTGGCGAACCCCAGAACCTGGCAGAGAAGGCAGAAATTCCTTACAGCATTAGCACTTGACAATCACACATGCGAGGAGTCACTGGCCATTTTAGGGGGAGAACTTTGCATTAAGAGAGTGGACCCCCACCTCAGAGCCATGCTGCACACGCTTTTGCAATAGTTATTCCCTTCGTGATAGTTCTTTTCTGGCCATGGCACGAGTATAATCGTACTGTTCGGGACCAGCAATCCTGGGGTTCCCGTGTGCCTTTGATCCTCCTGGATTTTGTGCTTTAAGCCCCACAACTTACTTGTGAACCTTCTTCCTCACCCATTTCACAAACTCAACCCCATTTAATAGTTTAAACATTTTAAATCTCATCTCTTCCTTTCACAGGCAATGGAAAAAATCAAAAAGACACATTTCCATCCATGAAATTGCCACATCACCTACTAATAAGATTGTTCTTTTAAATTTTCTCACTGTACCATTGTTACTATTGTCCACTTCAGGCCTTCATCCTTTCCTAAAATGGAAAACCTTGCCAACTGGTGGAACTCACTGTGTTTAAACTGTTTGTCCCACTTGGCCTGAGTCTGCAGTTTCTGTGCAAACACTAATGTGATCCATCTTTCTGGGCTCCCGAATGCTCGAGCACATTCTGGCCTGGTGGGAAGAATTTAAAGGATACAATTCCACCACTATCAAGACTGTATCCTCCAGACACTCTGAACAAATGTTTGGCTTGATGAACACAGTGTTTAAAAAAAAGTTGAACCACTTTCTAAATATTTGGAGATTTTGCAGAAAAATCTGGATCCTAGATAAGGCTAGCAAATGGTTTCCAGGTCTCCAGGCCACAGTGTTTACAAAATGAAGGCAGAGACTTACTTCAAAAGCAGTTTCACTTTGCACTGTAAACATTTGTGCTTTCCACTGCCTGGCCTAACCCCTTACCAAGGTCTTGGTTCAGGAATGTGCATTTAAGCATTCATTCTATGGCTACATACTAGGATTTTAACTGCCTTATCGGGTGTTAAAATTTGAAGCTCACCTTTTGTTGGATTAAAGGAGACCTGCTCTGTATTAACCAAATCTCTTGTTTATATGCCAAGAATTTTCCCCTCTGTCTTAGGGATTAAAAGCCTTAACTCCAAGAAGCTTTCTTCATGGTTACAGATCTTTGTATTATGTCAGCTCTCCCACCCTTTGCCGAAATTACTCTTGAGGACTTCAATATAGGAATTGAGTCCTGTTTGTAATTATAAAATCCGAGTCCATGTGGAGTGGAGAAAAGGATGAGCTTTAATACTCCATAGGAAATTTGTTAACACACACAAACAAAGGTTAATGCTGCAAGCAGCAGTCTTTAAACACACACACACACACACACACACACACACACACACACACACACACATACACACGTTTCTTTGAGACTACTTATTTTCCACCAAATAGGAATATTAGCAAGGAATTGGCAGGAGCCATGTCAGGTCTGTTTGGAATGTGGAAGATCTTATCTCACTGAGGCTTTAGGTTATATGCTGAACTGGAGATGGAATTTCTAGGACCCCTCCTCCCTTTGGTGGGTGAGACAGTTAAGGACAGTTCTGTAGACACGGAAGCACCCAGAACTTCCACTTGCACCTTAGGACTTGCTGGTGCCATTCTAATAGCTGTTGCTCATTGACCTCTAGTGGTGAATTGCTAGAATACTGGTCCTTAGACGGGATAGTCCAAGATTCAAAAGAAGGTTCTCACTTCCTGGTCATCATCAGCAGAAACTGGAATGTAATGTCAGATGATACTGTGGCTTGTTTTATTTATGTTTTGTTCTTATCCAAGAAAGAAAAAGACCAAGGAATAAGATTCTATAGTTCCTAAAAATACTGACTTATGTTCACTACTATGCACAAAGGAAAAGTTTTATTGTTTTATGGAACACTTCAGCTGGACTCATGTATCAAGATAGGAATGTGAAAGCTAAATACTCCTTTTGTATCAAAAATCTCAAGCACTTATTTTCATTCTATGCATTGTCTGTCTTTTATATAATGAACATGTTTATTAGATTAAATAAAACAAAAGTCCTCAGGTGAGCTTCCTGCCTCCTACTGTTCCTAAAATTTATGCCCATCTGCCTCATTTATTTTGCACTTTATATAGAGAGTATCAGTGGAAAAATGCTTTCGAGAGTTCTATTTATTGACTTCTCCCAATGAATGCCTCCAGCAGCTTGCTAATACGAGATGAAGCAGTAGCTATTGCAGCAGAGACACACTTGCTCTTTAGTTTTGTTCCCCAACTTCTTGCTTCTGTGTGCTTGTCTGACCTCTCCTGTTCCCAAAAGCTGTGTTCACCCACATAGCTCTTGCTTCCAGAGATCGCCTTAATGAAGACTGCTTCAAAGAATTTCTTTCTCCATACTGTTTTTTGTTCTGTACTCTAGCAGACCATTGGTTGTTTTTGACTGCATCCTTGCTCCATTCTTCTGAGTACTGCACCCCACATGTGCTTTTAATTTATTTATCTCGATGGAAAATGGATTCACTTAGGAAGCTGACCACAGGTCATTGCTTCATGGGTTTCTTGTGACAAAATAGATGATATTTTCTGACTATACTTGAAACTGCCTGCCTGAGGGATTTCATGGCTTCTTCCGAGTTACCAACTAGGTTATAGCTAAGTATCTAAATAGTGAACAGTCAGGGTTTTCACTCTCAGAATTTGTGGTATTTTGTGTTGAATAATTCATGGTTGGGAAAGGAGATTGTGCTGTGCATTGTCAGGTATTTGGCAGCACCCTTGGGCTCCTGTCAACTAGATGCCAGTAACACTCACTCGCCATGGTGACAAGCAACTCCACACATTGCCAATAATCTTAGGGAAAAATCCCTCTATGCTGAAAGTGTAGGGCCAAGTGTTGGAGTGTTAGTTACATTCCTACTTTAACTAGTAGCAATATTACAATGACAAGGTTTACTGGTAATGTGCTGCTTTCCATTTACTATCCATGTAATTGAGTCAGTTTGCTTAACCTCCCGTACCTCCACTACCATGGATAAAAGGAGATTTTACAGATTTGTCCATTATATACAAGACATAGTCTTGTGGTAAGCAGTGTACATAAGGACTTGTATCTTGAACTTGGAAAGCCTTCAAAATGTTGGCCTATACTAAGTCAGTTTAATAAATACAAAGAGTTGCTTTTGCAAAGAGGCAGACTTATAGGTAAATCCTAGAGATTAGTGAATAATAACATAGAGGAAAATAGACATTCTACAGGCCTGCAAGACAGGAATATCTCTTGTGTGGGTGTAGATAATCTGAGAATGTTCAATCTCTAAGTACCTGCTGTGTAATTTCATCTACAATTAGCTGCATGGAAAGATATGCTCATTTCATGGGTGAATAGATTCTCAGAGAACTGAAGTAAGAAGCTCAGGTTTTCTGAAAGTCCTCCTGGGCTTTGTTATGAACTGGAGGAGTCCACATTTATAATCCCAGGGAGAGGTTACTGCAGTCCACCACTTCCAGTGCAACTCGTGGCAGTAATAAAGACACTAAGACATGTCTGTAGTTACGAGGAGTAAAGAGGGGTCCTAAGTCCTACTAGAATGATGGCTAACCCGAACAAAGGCCTCAACCCAGTGCCAAAACAGGTTTTATTAATTTGGGAAGATTGGAGTGGTCCCGGGATGAGTGACTGTGAGAATGGCGGGAAGTATGTGAACACTGTGAGCTGGGCTTGGTAGGAGGCCTGAAATCACCTCTGCAATACGCAGAGAGATGTAGAAAGAGTCATCTGCATATCAGAGACTGCGGCAGTATCTAGTATCCTGGGGCAGTGATTCACTTTTGATGTGTAAGCATCATGCCCTGAGATGTCACAGCTTCTTTCTCGAAGCTCAGTCCCAGAGGATGGCGTGGCATCACTCAGCCTAGCTCACACACACTACTTGGGAACTATAGGAGGAGCACCCCTGACAGACTGCATTTCTTTCAAGACTGCATTTCACCACCTTGGCCAGACCAACTTCCATTGCTTGAAGCCAGTTGGGATAAGAAATATCTTAGCCAGCTGTGTACACAGCAATACATGGAAGTAGGGCCAAATGCTCTCTCTTGAGGGAGGACCATACAGGTGATCCTCCACAAAGTTGCACAAGGTAGATGCTGGGTGTGAAGCCAAGTTATTCTGGAACTGAACTTGGAACCACTGAAATTCTTGGTTCTTTCTTTGGCTTTATGTTGTCTCCTGAAAAACTGGCCTGCCTAACAGGACAAAGAGGTTACTCCCTGAGGAAATGTCCCACTGCTCCATTCATACCATAGAATTATTTTCCTCATCTCTCTCCCCTATGGTTCTGTTCACTCCATGAGAGTCAGAAGATGCCATTTCATCTCCATTGCTCAGTTTACTGTCCACTCACCTGATAGGTATTATTTAAATGCTTGCTTAGAGAACAATTAGAAGATGAGTGAATGTGTATACACCATGTTTCCCAATGTGTGGAATGGGTAGTGATATCTGAGAGGTGCCAACCATTTAAAAATATTTTAGCAGATCTGCATTTATTCTAATATGTATTAGGAAAAAATACATTGATGAATTAATCTAGGGGTTTCACAAATATTATTGATTGAAATATGGCCAAGTAAAAAAATAAATTGATTTCTAAAATATATTAAGTGAGTAACATCATTTATTTATGGCAATTACAAGATGATAAGAATAAGACTGAAGTTAGGGCACTCTAACCAAGGAAGTAAATTTATATCAAGTGCTAACATGTCTTCAACACTCAGTAAGTGCCATGCATTATTCTCTGCTTTAACTTACCTGTTTTAATCTGTATGACCAAACTATGAAGCAGTATTCCATATCTTAGATAAAGAAACTGGTAGAGAGAGAGAGAGATCTTGCTAAAGGTCTCATAGTTAGCAACTGGAGTTGGATCTGGAGCAGTTGAGCACCTTAGTTCAAATTCCTACCCAGAACTGGAGACAAATTGCAGTTTAAGGGTATATTAGATACTTTTCTCTGGTTGCTGGTACAAAACACCCAAAATGAAGGAAGGAAAGGTTAATTTAGCTTAAAGTTTGTGGAAGTTTTAGTCCATACTCAGCTGGCTCCAAGGCAAGGTGACATGGCTAAGAGGCAAGAGTTCATGACGGCCACAAGTGACAAGAGAGAAAAAGGTAGAAAAGAGAAACATACACTCCTTCCCTCCCTTATATTGCACACCAGTTACCTGCCCCTCAATCACAAATACTAGACTCAGCACCTTTGAAAGTCCTGACCCTGTGACTGCATGAGGCTTTAGAGGGACATTTAAATACAAACCATAACAGAGGGCAGCAGCTTGGAGACTGGAGGGATCAAGGCTCACATACACTGGTCTAAAACATTGAGGAAAAAGATTCAAGTAGTTGGCCATCCAGAGTCCAGGGAGAGAAAGTCATTTTTCAAACACATAAGGACTCTGGACTCAAATCCAAGAGCTTTAGCCGAGGCAGGAGCCAAGGTCTTCTGACTCTTTCCAGGTTCTGTTATGCAGTGGTTATTTCAGTTTTTGCTACTGCAAGGTCAGGAGCATTCCAAGCTGTCAAGAAGCTGCCAAGTGCCCTCAGCAAAAACTCAGTCCCTTGTACCAGTTAGCATTTTTTAAGTGGAAATCTCTGTGCCCAGGAGTTGCTATTTTGTAGTGGCTTTGTTTTAAGCTCTCTATGCAAATAATATGTTAATAGTCCAGTCCTGAGGGAGATCCTTTCCCTAGGTGACAGACAGGAAACTTTTCATTTAAACAAGTGTGTCTAAGCTTTTTCACTAGAGCCTCCACATTGGCATCTGTTCATTTTGTTCATTTTCCTTCTGAAATAGGCTGCCTAATCATTGCTTATCACATTTCTAATGAGTTTCTTTTTTTTACATGAATAATTATAGCTCCACACTCTGTGTTCTTGGGGCCATGTCTTTCAGGCCTACTTTGCAAACTATGCTGATAAAGACAAGATTGTGAACTTGCCCATATTACATGACCTGCCAATCAGTCTCACACAGTGTAATTTGATTCTAATATGCCTCCTGATCTCTGGTGCATTTAAAAATAACTTGTTAATAGTCTTCCTATCCTAATTAAGCTAAAGTTGAACACACTGAAATGTCTTGCTCCCTTGTGCTCTTTTTCCCTTCACACATGCATACTGTTGAGTCTAAAAACTCATTTCTGTTCATCTGAACATCTGTTCCCCCAACCCATTCAAACAACAGAAAACCACAGAATAAGACAATTGCCGCCATGGTATTTTACAGTCGTTAAACTATTAGTAATAATATCGAAATCCATAGCAAATGATCAAAATGGAAACCCTGAGAAGCATCTGGCCACTAACTGGGTAACTATGTGTCTCTTTGTTAACTGTTTTTATTTTTTGGTATCTTAATGTGTGATATTGGTAGGATCCACTTGAGCAAGTTGACGAATTTAATGAAATACTGTTGTAGAAGCAACAAAACAGAGACTGGTATACATAAGCATTAGTTGTTGTTATATTATTAGTGTTATTATTATTATTATTATGTGTTTCTTAAAGGAAAGAAAATTGTGTTGATGTCATATTTTAGAGATATATAATTCCCAAAATCTTTGAGTGAAATAGACTCCTGAGGAAGATGAATCCAGTGTATCCTGTAACTGTGAACAGAGTTCAAATATCCATGTGGGGCCCATTTACTCTGGTCATCAGAGTGGTGGCAGAAGTAAATACAGGGCCTTGTAAGACAAGAAATTTTTATATGCCAATCACATTATCAGCTCTACAACATGGGTACTATTTTCTTCGTTTTACAGTCAAGGAAACTGAGACTAAGTATTTTACTCAAATTTGTGCCATGTGAACTCATGTCACTCTAAAAACAAAGCTGTCCACTCCTCCACACTGTTTCCATATTTATTCCCTACATCAAACACAAAAAAACACTATACCAACCAGCCTACTCTCGATATCTGCTGGCAACTCACAAACAAGAGATTTGTTACTCTTCCTCTTATCCTAGCATCCAGTCCACCAAGAGTGAAGCATGTAACAGGCTTTT